TTCGGTGAAATATCGCAGACCAAGGTCGACAGCGAGTGTCACGAACAGGACAAAGGCCGAATACTTTAAAAAATCTATCCCACGTCCACCCGTGGATCTTCGAGGCTGAAGATCTTCTTTCGGTGAGGCCAGCGGAGCGCGGGGAGCGCCTGACTATGAGAAACAATCTGCCAGCAAAAAATTAAGCAGAAAGCAGACAAGTACAGTCCCACTGCAGAGATGCATCAGTGCGTTGCTCAGAAACGGCAGCAAGGCGCCTTGGACGAATTCGGCATGGTTAGCTTGGGGGAGCTCCGCAGCTCCGGTGGGACAGCCACACAGGAATCCGCCTCCGTGGGCGTGTGAGAATGCTCGCGTGTTGGCTGGAAGATTTTTTTGATGATTTTTGAAGCTGACTCCCCCCCTCCTCGCGCAAACCCCTAAAATGCGCCCCCCTTTGAATTTCTGGCTCCCCTTTTCCGCATCCAAACGAAGAACATAGCTCCCAAGACGGCTTCCAAGACAGCTCAGATAACACCAAGGCGGCCCAAGACGACATGATAATATCCGAAGGCCTCAGGACAGCTCGAGAGGCTTCTAGGACGGCCGAAAGGAGCTCCGAGAGGCCCTCCACGATAGCCCGAAGAACCGAAGCACATGGATTTTTTTGTTTGTTGAAATATTGTGAAGCTATATCCTGTTTGGGCTTCTGCCCGCCCAAGGGGCTTCAATAAAGCTCCGAGACAGCCACGAAGCCCCCAAAGGCCCCAAATCGGCCTAAGAGGACCCCAACACCAGCCCAAACCCTTCCAATTGGACCCCAAAGCGGTGAAGCGCCAATGCGGCCCAGAGAGGTCGACAAGCGAAAAGAAACGTCTTCTCTGTCGGGCTCAAGGGGCGGACAAAAAAAAACATGGTCCGGCGAGCCAGGCAATTCCGCAGACCGAACGAAGAAACTATTCTGGGCGAGCGGGACACTTCTCCTCGGCCAAACGAAGAAATTATTTCGGGCCAGCAGAAAATTCACCGCCGAACGAGAAAAATCACAAACGCTGGAATCGGAAATTCGTGTTGGAAGCCTCCAGGCACCACGGATACTTGAACACCATAGAAAGGGCCCTCATTTCATCAATGCCGCCGAGACCAGAACGCCCGCGAGAAACAACGAGCCCTGTAAACGCAATCGCTTCTCTAGACCCCCTCTCCAGTTTCCCTCCTCCGATACAAAACGACTGCGTACCACACGAGCGCCAAAACAACACACGTCTGCCTCAATTTTGAAAATATCCCCCGCTTCCGAAGAGTTTTCGGCCACCCAGGGTTTTAAATTTCAGGGCTGCGACCTTTGATCGGGCGAACGCTACTTCAAATAATTCTTCTCCGTCGCAGCGCGGCAGTGGCAGTCCGCGCGCACGCTCAAGGGGTCTGGGCAGCGGAAGGCGCAAATTAACCGGCGGCAGGAGACGGGAAGGCAGGCGAAAGCGGCTGCGTGAGAGGGCCGGAGGGGAGGGCACTCACGTGGCGAGGGGCGTCGCCGTGGAGCGGCTGAGGCGGCCAGCCGATGCGGCACCCCTGGCAAGGGGCGCGGGGCGGCGTCACGGCTACGCCCAAGGGCCGACGCAGGGGCTGCAACGCACGAGGTGGAAGAGGCACAATACCGAGAAAGAGAACGAATGGCCACGTCAACGACGTCCCGTTCCAGCGAGGGGCCAAGAGGTGGCTACACCCTGAGGGCCAAATGCAGCGGGAATGGCCAAAGAGGGACTGGAGGGGGCGGGCAATGTTGCCTGGTGGAACTGCGTTGGCGAGTAGGGGAGGGGAACTGATCACACCAGTAGCCGGCCAGTAAGGAAGCGGTGCAGCAAGTGGCGGGGGCGCAGTGGCGCACCCACCCAGCAGCGCCACGGTCAGCAAGGACCAGGACGAACGGCGGTGGCCCGTAACCGGCCTGAGGGGGGGCGGTGATGGGGCAAACGACTGAAACCCAATGTCGCCGTCCAGCGAGATAGGTCGGCGAGGCTCAAAGAGGGGCGGCAGCGGATCCCGCACCCAGCCGGCGCTCGCAACGCAGCTGAGGGCGGGAGGCACCCCGCCCCAGGCGGAGCGGCGAACAGCAGCTCCGCCCGCGCCCGCGCGCCCAGGCCCGCGCCCCCCGCGCCCGCGCCGCGTAGCAGCGCGAGCCGCCCGGAGGCCCCGCGGCGCAGCCGCGCCGCCGCTGCGGCCGTTCGCGCGACAGGCGCGCGAGGCGCGCCTCGGCGGGCCAGCGCTGCCCGCGGTGGGCGTGTCGCACGGAGCCTCGTGCCCTTCGCCAGGCTGCCTCGGCCCAGCCTGCTCGCCCCGCCGCAGCGCCGGAACCTGCCGCCACGGCTCGCCCACCTCGGGCGACCTTACGCCGGTCTGGGCAGCCGCGTGGCCGCCACGCCCCCCCCCCAGGTGACATTGTCCCTGCCGCGTCTGCGTCACTGGCAGCGGTGCTGCACGGGCCAGGGCCAGGATCAGAGGGGGTTGCAACAATCGTCTCCAGTCGTTCGTCTTGTTTGCCAGGGGCGCAGTTGCTCGCGACAGTTACCGTAGGAGGCCCAACAACCCTCGGGAGAACTGGCGGGTTGCACAATCGGCCAGGCCCTTCGCTGCTGGGGTCGCCCCTTGGAGGGGGCGACGTCGCACATTGAGCGGCGCCGGGCTTCCGGGAACGCCACTGATCGCGGCACCAGCCGCTCCGGTCAGTCTGCTGGGCGGACCCCAGGGCAGAGGTTCCACCCAGAGTGTTGGCGCCATCGGAACGAACGCGCAGGACATCGTCCGCGGCGCGCAGCCGGCGGACGAAGTCGCGGAGGAGGGCGCCGTCGTCATGCTGGAGCTCGTCGCCGAGGCGGAACCGCCCTACGGCCATGCCTGGCACCTTGTTTCTTCAAAAAACAAACCATCACATGGTTACAAGGGCCGTCGAACGGAGAAACTTTTGGGCGCTGGCATAAGAAACTCCTGCTGGGAGCCTCCAGACACCGCGGGGCGAAACCCGAACGCCCGCGAAAAACGACGAGCCCTGTAAACACAATCGTGTCTCTAGACCCCCTCTCCAGCTTTCGAACCTCCCTCTTCCCGTACACAACGACTACATAATAACGCAAACCGGCATATGAATAACACACGCCAGCCCTATTGTCGAAACACTCCCCTCCTTTCCCAAGACCACCTCGGGTTTTCAGCTTTATGACAGCAGCCGTTGATCGGGCGATTGCCACGCTAAAGGACAACCCACCACATGATTGCAAGTGGCGCGCGCAAAAGGATGATCGTCAAGAGTGCGAGGCCTTTTGGTGCCAGAGCATGCACCAGAGCATAGTCAATCTTAGCACGACACCATCCTCGGCCTGTTGGCGGCGGTGCGCATGCCCCCTCCCCCCGAACCGAGCGGCCGCCGCCTCGAATCCACCGCGGGCCCGTCCTCTGCTATGCTTCGCGCGCGTGACGAGCGAGCAACGGCGGCCGGAGGCGGGCGGCGGCAGGCGAGCGCCGGCGAAAACAGGCGCGGGACGTGCACGCGTCGGACGTGGGCAACGATAGCGAAGGACACAATCGAACCCGATGCATGGATGGGCAACCTCTCCAAGGGGCACCCTCGCATCCGCGCCTCGCTTGTCCATCCTCAACCGCTCTCGAGGACCAGCCCCGCGCGAAGAACCTCGACGCGGGCGCCCAGACGGGGCTTGCATCCTCAGCGCGCATCCTCACTCGATCACTGGCCATCGCTCGGACGTCCATTCCCCGTGCTTTTTTTGGTTTCGTGCGTGGCTTTTTCGCCAAATGGTCAAGGCTACTCCTCGATGGTCCTCGCCGAAGGAAAACTGCACACGTCCGAGCGATGCCAAGACCCCCAGCCCCGAGGACTCGGGAGGGCCGGGCTGGACGCCCGCCCCGGTCACCCAGGATACAGCCGGTCCGGGGCAGCTCTGGCGTGGGCCCCCGAGGCGCGGATACCCCCCCACCCCCAGCCCTCATGACTCGGGGCTCTAAGAGGGCGGACTGGGCCGTGCAGGGCCAGGCACTGGGCCACTCAAGCATCGGCCACACGCAAGGCTGTCGACTGCAGGCCCAGAGGGAGCACGCATCGGCCCGCCATCGCCCGCCGCTCGCCGCCAGGGGCCCGGCAGCCCCGCCCCGCCAGGGGGACCGCTGGGGCCTGCCACCGCTAGGGCCCATCGCCGAGCTGTCGGCGACGCCTCGTCGACGCCGCGTCGACGGCTCTCAGCCCATGGCGGCGGCTCCTCCGAGAGGAGGAGGAGGAGGCAGAGCAGGGGGAGGAGGAGGAGGAGGAGGAGGAGGAGG